ATCTTCTAAATCCAAGTTACAGTTTGAATATATTAAATAAAATTGTCTAGATTGAATTCGAATCATATTTTACTTTTTAATGTTGTTGAATTCATGTCAATTTATATATTTTTTTTAGTACGCGTTTGTCATGTGTTCAAATTTGATTGGCTAAAATAAGTATTTCATTTATGAACGACTGGCGTAACTTTTTCGAGTCCTCAATCAGTGTTACGAGAAAAAGTTGGCGGCCATCCAAAACATAATGCGTTTACACGTTCGCTACAGCGTAAAAACACGTGAACAAATGGCGTTTGCGGGTCATTGCCGCTTATTCCAATTCAATTGAATTACACCAGCCACTTACTCTAAAAAAATTTTTATTTATACAGGCCTGACTCAGGTCCAGTTTATTAGTGAAGTCGACATTTCATAGTTTAAAAGGGTAAGATTTTTCATATCTCCTTTATTAGTAAATTACTAGTAAAAAAAAGGAGATGTTGAGGAGGGGTAAAATCCATGTCTCCCGGTTTTAATAGTGCTGCGGGGAGATGTTAATTTTTTTTACTAGTAAAATTGGGATATCTCCCGGGAGGGGTAAAATCCATATCTCCTTTAGCGGGAGGGGTAAAATCCATATCTCCCAATTTTAATAGTGCTGCGGGGAGATATCAATTTTATCACCGAGCATTTTCCAGAAGTTTTTACGGACAAATTCCACAAGTTTTGATTAGATGCAGGTTTAGAATAAAAATCTGAAAACTATATAAAGAACTTATAAATTACATTTAAATAAGTAAGACAAAAATGGACTTATTCGAAAATTTATATTCTTCACAAAGGTATTTTAAACATAAAAATTATTTGTGCTTAAACAATTTTATAATAAAAATTAAGAAATTTTAATCATTTCAACTACAAGTTTTTTTGTTTCAATTAAAAATTCCTTATCATCGCAAATAATTTTATATTTACATTTAACAGAATCATCATTTTGTGTAGACATAATTCGTTGTTCTTGACTCTGTAACTTTTTACTTTCAATTTGTTCGTAAACTTCGTTATGAAAATTCTTGTAATGATTCTTCATTTTAATAACCGTTGAAGAATTAATTTTATAATTTTGATTACAATTTTTACATTTTACATTTTTTTTGTGTAAGTTTTCTTCAAAATAATTCCAAATTTCGTGACGAGTAAAGATTCTTGGCATTTTATTCAATTAGGAGATAAAGGAGATTATCTCCTTTATATAGATAGAAATTTAATTTTTGATTTTATTTACTATTAAATAATTATATTATTTCTTGAAAATATGATCTTTTTGTAATTATATTTATTATTTCCAAATATAGATTGTCCACGTTTGGTAATTTTATTTTTTTAAAATATATAAATAACGTGATTTGCATAATGTAAAATTTAATTTTATTGGTAAAAATGGTTGCGGTAAAACCAATTAGATTTCTACATACTATGTCTACTGTTTTTTATTGTATCCCATGTTTGGAGACTTACAAGTGTAAAAAGAATCCTAATGAAAAAGAGAAGCAAGCACGAGAGGAAGAGTACTCAAAAACTGGAATTGTTCCAGAATGTGGATTATGTAAACGAAATCATTGGCGTTGCAAGGATGATAGTTGTGATAAATGTTGCAAGTTGCGAGAATGTAATGATATTGTCTGTTCAAATTGTGTTGAAAAAAACGTACGTTGCAGACGTGTTTTACCAAAAACACAGGAGGAGTTTAACGTGTTGGAAGGATTGGGAGTAACTTTTTGTTCAGGACAATATGAACCAACTGCTAATGGACAATTCCACGAACAAGTGTATTTCCAATTCAAGAACCGTCAGACTGTTTTATCCACAAAGAAGATATTCGGTCATAGCGCTATGAATTTTCCTAAATATCTTAATGGCGATTCGAAGCAAAATCTTGCTTATAGTACGAAACCGTATGGAAGATGTGAGCTTCACAAAAAGAAATGTCGGTGTAGTTACGAGAATCTTGATGAATTTTGCGATGCCTGTGAAGAAAATTGTAGGCCTTTGAGAAAGTGGGCAAGGTGGGTTAATAGGGACGGAAATCGATTGCCTGATGATGTAGTTGGTCCTTTTGTGTTCGGTGTTTATCGAAATCTTTCGAATTCCAAGGAATTTTCTAGTGCTGTTGATGAGTTGGAAGAGAAGAAGATAAAAGAATTTGAAGCAATTATCGAAGGAAATAATAAGCTTTTAGAAGGATTTACACCATTACAAGTGTTTGAATTTAATAAAGATAGTGTTCGATATTCCAACAATTATCCCGGTATGAAGATGATTTATACGGATTTGGAGAAGCAACGAAAAAAAGATTCACAAAGATTCTGGCGACCTATGGTTTTTTATTTGTTCGGACCAGGTGGAAGCGGTAAATCTGGATTGGTGCAGGAGCTTTTTAAGGATGAATTTTATGATAAACATATGAAACAAAGGTCAGGATCTAATTGGTGGAACGAGTATGACGGTCAGGAGATCGTTTTTTTGGACGAGTTTTATACCAAGATCGAATAGAATAACATGGTTAATCTGCTAAACGATTCGAGTTGTAGTGTGGAGATTAAGCATGGTGGTTTTGCTCCATTTCTTGCGAAGTATATATTCATGACGACTACAAAGAATCCTCTAGAAGCGTATAATTTCAACAATAGGGGTGGAAATGAGGATGATAACAAGCGTGATTTTCGTCAGTTTGGTAGACGTTTGGATTTCGTGATCGAGTTTGATGGTGTGTGGGATGATGATATCGAGAAGCGTACTACGAGAATTACTTGTCATCAATGTGAGTTGGAAGGGATTAATTGGGGTACTGAAGAGCAATTTCGTAGCATGAACTGGGACATCAAGTATCGGAATGGTTGCAATACTCCAACGGAAGTCATAGAGAAGAGTAAGATTCTTAACAAGGGTATCAAAGGAGAGCATGTTATGATTGGTCATACGGTATATTGGCGTCGCAAGTTTCCAGAGTTCAAGCGTCGTTATCTGCAGGATTATCCAAGGAGAGCTTTTTGAGTATCGTATGGAGTGTGAATCACAGGTTATTTCACGAAATTTAATAGAAAATACAGATCCTCAGATTGAATCCAGCACTTCACAGAAACGAAAAACTGTTGAAAATTTGGTTGTTATTACAGATATTTATGATGAAAATTCTAATAAAAAAGCACGTTTTGATTGATTAAAATTACTAAATGTGGATTCTATATTTGGAAATTACCAAATGTGGATATCTTATTTTGGTAATTTGTTTTGTATTAAATCTATAAATTTGTATTGTTTCCGGATTAAGAAATAAAAAAATAAAAAAATGTCTTTAACTGTTGAAACTTGTAAATTAAGAAAAATTGTAAAACAACAACATTATAATGAATTGAAAAAGAAATTTTCTAATCATATCGTTTTTCAAGAATTTGATGAGAGAGATGAAATCGTGTATGATTTTATCGAGAAAAACATTAAACAGCTTGAACTTTATAAGTTGTTTTTTATCGATGATCTTTCTCAAGAAGAAGTTGCTCGAGAAATTCAGAAAAAGATGAAAAAAGAGTATTATTTCCCTGCTTTTAACTGGTGTCTTCCTTATAAATTTCTTGTTGATGATATGAATGTTCGGAATATTTTCGAAACAATACGTTTTCTATCTGTTATTAATCCTAAGAATTTTTTAGAGTTATTGGAGGGATTTATTAAATCTTTAACCGATTTTAAAGAGGATTTATGTTTGAAAACAAGTTTTTTTTATTTTATTTAATACAAGAATGGTTAACAAATTATTATAAAATATGTAATTTATTCCATTTACGTATTTATTATTCGTTGATAAAATTTAAATTAGCTAAAATGTAAACCGAATATAAGTTATCAATATATTTAAATAAATCATTTTTACATGAAGATGAATCAATTTTAAGTTTAATTTGTTGTAAGTAAATGTATTTTTGTAATAAAATTTCTCCACCAAAATCGTTTGTAATATCATTAAGAAGCTTTTCAAACATTTTTTTTTCTTTGTTTGTGATGATTTCTTCTTCTGTAAAAGAGTTTACGGAAATGGTTGCTTTTCCAGTTTCTTTATCATATGGTACGTAAAGATAGTAATTTTTGTAGAATTCACGGTGAATTGTTGAGATTAGAGCTTTTTCCTTTAGCTTTTCAATTTCGATTTCTTTCAAAATTATTTCCATTTTTTTAGTGAAAGATATTTCGTTTTGTTTATTTATAAAATTACCAAGTAATTTAAATAATATAAAGAGGATTAAAAAAGAAATTATGTAATTTAAAATGGAACATAAACAACCGATTACTTTTCATCAAATGATCGATGAGAATATAAATTATCTTTCTGTTAATCGT